CTCCCTCCCTCCCTCCCTCCCTCCCCCCCAACCCCCACCCAGAGTCCGCATTTTGCTATGCTACACTTGTGGGCTTCAGAACAACCTGCAGACTTGGTTCTTTCTTCCACAGTGCGAGTGCCTGGACTCAAACTCAGGTCGCAAGGTTTGGCAGCTCCTTTACCGACCGAGCCATCTCCACACACCTCACCCTCCACTGCTCTTCTGAGACAGGTTTTCATGGCTTCAGATGTGTGGGGAGGATAACTGAACTCCTGACCCTCCTGCCTCTACCTTCCGACTGCTGGGATCTAAGGCACCGGGACAATGTGCTCAGCATGTTAGGTCTTTAATATATGTTTGGGAAGCCCCACTGTTGTCTGACACAGACACACCCAGTCCCATGCTCTTAGGAATCTATTCCTTAGGGTGGTACCCCAGCAGTTTTTGTTGGGGCGTCCCCTTTCTCTTCCACAGGAATAATGGGATGGTATGGGGGAGGCCAGCATGGATGAACATGCCTGCTTCCCCCACTGTTTTCTCTCCCCACAGGCCTACCCAGCTCAGCTCTCCATGTGGTCGTGAATGGGACTCCATCTCCACCCCTTGAACTCCAGCAACAACTCTTCCGAGTTCTTCTACCCACAGTCTTCCTGTGCTCCACAGCTTACTCATCTTCCTGTTTCCAGCATCCCTTCCCACAGTCCCCAGCCTTAGCCAGTCCTTCCTCTTTGTCCATCCCCAGAGGACACTGTGGTGACTTTACATAGTTCTCCGCTTCCTGCTGGCGTTCTAGCAGATGCAGTACTCCAAGCTGCATCTTCCCAACTCAATGCTGTCCTGTGTTATTTCCTGAGTCTTCTAGAACATTCCATCCCATTGGTACTTAATCGTGCCCATGCTTACTCCCTAAGACCTCAGTGAGCATGGTACCTGTGGTGTTTTCAACTCCTCCATAAACACCGCCTTCATCTGTTTTTTTTTCCTGCGCACCCATCTTTATGTCTGACTGCTTGCACAGACACTCCCATTGACATTAGAGCCACTTCTTGTCCAACCTTCATCCTGTCCTCTCAAGTTGTCCTTCTGCTTAGCCTTCCACAAAACAAACCTGGAACTCTGTCCTCGTGAACCATCTCCTATGATGTTCCCCTGAGCCTCCAAAGAGGGGGCTCAGGGGGCCTGATGGCCTCCCGCCCCCCGTGGCCCTGTAGCCCCAGCGGGCCAGGGGAAGAACCTAGGAAGCCCCAGCGCCCAGGATGGGCAACTGCACGTGGGAGGGCTGCCACGTGGACTCTCGAGTGGACCACCTCTTCCCGCCATCCCTCTACATCTTTGTCATCGGGGTGGGGCTGCCCACCAACTGCCTGGCTTTGTGGGCGGCCTACCGCCAGGTACGCCAGCGCAATGAGCTAGGCGTGTACCTGATGAACTTGAGCATCGCAGACCTGCTCTACATCTGCACGCTGCCGTTGTGGGTCGACTACTTCCTCCACCACGACAACTGGATCCATGGCCCCGGCTCCTGCAAGCTCTTCGGCTTCATCTTCTACAGCAACATCTACATCAGCATTGCCTTCCTGTGCTGCATCTCGGTGGACCGCTACCTGGCCGTGGCCCATCCGCTGCGCTTTGCCCGTTTGCGCCGGGTCAAGACAGCGGTGGCTGTGAGCTCCGTGGTTTGGGCCACCGAGCTGGGCGCCAACTCTGCACCGCTCTTCCACGACGAGCTCTTTCGAGATCGCTACAACCACACCTTCTGCTTCGAGAAGTTCCCCATGGAGAGCTGGGTGGCCTGGATGAATCTGTACCGTGTCTTCGTGGGCTTTCTTTTCCCCTGGGCACTCATGTTGCTGTGCTACCGCGGCATCCTGCGGGCCGTGCAGAGCAGTGTGTCCACGGAGCGCCAGGAGAAGGTCAAGATCAAGCGTCTGGCTCTGAGCCTCATCGCCATCGTGTTGGTGTGCTTTGCACCCTACCATGCCCTCCTGCTGTCTCGAAGCGCTGTCTACCTAGGTCGGCCCTGGGACTGTGGCTTCGAGGAGCGAGTCTTCTCCGCCTACCACAGCTCCCTGGCCTTCACCAGCCTCAATTGTGTGGCCGACCCCATCCTCTACTGCCTGGTCAATGAGGGAGCTCGCAGTGACGTGGCCAAGGCCCTGCACAACCTCCTGCGTTTCCTGGCCAGCGACAAGCCCCAAGAAATGGCCAGTGCTTCCCTCACCCTGGAGACACCCTTGACCTCCAAGAGGAGCACCACCGGCAAGGCCTCCAGAGCTGTCTGGGCAGTGCCTCCGACTGCCCAAGGGGACCAGGTGCCGCTGAAGGTGCTGCTGCCACCAGCACAGTGAGCTCCATCCTCATGCCCCACCCCTCCCTGCTGAATGCAAATGTATGTAAATATGACCGTGTGAATCTTCGTAAAACAAGGGGAAAAAAGTGGTTTTCCTGTCTTTCTCAGTCATCTTCCACCACGATTCCCAGTGATTCACTTTGACTGGCAGGGCCTGATGGGGGAATGACACAGTCCACATCAGTGGGCTCCCACAGGGGAAGTCAGCCTTGGAGAGTTTAGGATGAGGTGATAATTAAGCCAACTGTTTCTAATAGACAAAGACAGAAGAGCCTGGCTGATGGTACAGACTTGTAACCCAGCTACTTGGTAGGCTGAGGAAGGAGGACTTGGAAGTTCATGATGTACTTGGACCACAAAGTGAGACCCTGTCTTGAAAGACTAAGCACAACAAAGCCTGGGAATGTAGTCTAGCCACAAGTGTCTAGCTAGAATCCCCCAGTGAGGGGCTGGGGTGTGGCTCAGTGGTAGAGCTGCTGCCTAGAATTCATGCTTGTGAGAGTAATTCTTTCCTGTGTTTTAGAGAAAGAGTATGGTTATTTTTTTATCCCAGTCTGGACTGAGCTCATGGTCCTTTCTCAGCTTCTCAAGTGTTAGTCTTACAGGAGTGAACTGCTATGGAGCAGAGAGTTTCTGAGATTGACACGAACCACATTCTCTCAGTCTGAGACCTTGTAGGACAAGGGGTGTCAAAAGCAGATGAGGGCCATCCGGGCAGACTGGCTTAGAGAGGAGGCTCAGGAAAAAGGACAAAGTGAGCACAGCAAGACAACTTTATTTACATTTATTTATTTATTTATTTATTGCAGGGTGGGGGTTCTGCCGCATCATTCCATGGCAGTCAGAGGACAACTTACGAGTGTTGGTTCTTTCCTTCCA